AGTCTGTCCATGCACACCAGACTGAGGGAAACCTGAACTCCCCTCAGAACTCCCTTAGTCAAGAAGGGGCTACAGCTGAACCAGCCAAATCAGCTGCCCCCACTTCCAAAGGCCTTAAACCCCTGCAAAGGGGAGGCGTGAAGCGACGAAGGGTGGAAACTGACTCTGAAGAAGAGGCAGAGCACACCCCAAGTCGACTAACGCGGTTTAAGGTACCAAAAAAACCTGAAGACTTCGACAATGCATACCAGTTGGTAAGGGCATTGGAGAAGGAAAGAAATGTAAGACTATCAATCCGAATCTCTAGAGATGAGGGCATGATCATGGCCCCCAAAGACACAGCCAACATGAATATCCTGCAGGAAATCAAGGTGCTAAAAGACGGGAGAAAGGTGTGTATTTCACCACTGACCAACCAAGAGAAAAAGTCCAAGATGGTGCTACTTGGCTTTCCACTAGGGTTCGACGTGGAGGTGATCACGTCTCTCCCACAAGTGGTGGAGGCTTCCCGCATGGCCAAAAGGGAAGTCTCCAACCAGGCAAGTCCTGGTTATCCTCAAGGGAGCCCCAATCACCACCCTTGATCTGGGTAACTGGGGCTCATACAAGCTCAGGGCATATGTGCCAGAGCCCTTGAGGTGTTTCACGTGCCAGAAATTTGGGCATCACCAGGCCAACTGCAAGGCCAAAGCCAAATGTGGTGTATGCAGCGAGGCACATGAAACCGAAGTGTGTATAAAGGCACACAAAGATGGCCAGAAGGACACAACAGCCAAGTGTCCAAACTGTGCCAAAAAGCATCATGCCTGAAGCCTGGCTTGCTCTGTCAGGAAACAGGCAATGATTAAACAGCAGGAGCTAGCCAAAAAGCGTCCTGACTTTGTCCCTGCGCCCCCAGGCACCTACGTCTAGGGCAAAAACAAAAACCAAAACCAAAAAGAAAAGACTCCTCGACCTCCTAAGAGGAAGGAGTCGCCCCCACAGCAAAAATTGGATACCTCTAACAGAGAGGAGTTCCCCAAGCTTGCTAGTGGCAAAACCACAAAAAAGAACCAAAGGGAAAAAGGTTCAAAGTCCACAGTAATGGTCCCCCCAGTAGATGATAATCTTTTCTTTGACGAGAAAGATATGACTCTCCTGTTGAGTGCTGTAGTTTCTGCAGTAGCAACAGCCTTGGGGAGGACCAGTGAGGAGGCGGAGAAAGCAGTGCAGGTCGCAATGACGGCTATGACCCAAACTGTGGCAGCTCTGAAGGGAAGGAAGCTAGAAGCCTCCAAACCGATAACGAGCAGCGCTCCCCTCCCTAAATCCTTGGATGGCAGGCTAGCTTCAAGAGAAACATTACATGAAACCCCAGCTAGTCTGTCAGGACAGGCTGAAACTGTGCAGCAGGCCGAGTCTGTACAGCCAAAGTCTCGTCCTCTGACCCGAGGTGACACTTCCAACCTAGGCCCTACACCCCTCAGTAGAGCCTTAACCGGAGTGTCTGACTTAGAGGAAGTTGTACAATCCTCAATCAACGAGAATCTGTATTTATCTGATGCCACCAGCACTGGGGCATCTGAAGTTGAAACAAGTGACACTGAGGAACCATCATGGCACACAATCTAAGCATACTGCAGTGGAATATCTGTAGCTATAAAAGCAAGAACTCCTTTCTCCAGTTAATTGTGCGAGCAAGGAGCATTGACGTCGTCATGCTCCAGGAGACACTAACTATGGGATCCGTGTGCTTCTCAGGATATCATGCCTTCACCACTCCAAACCTGGATGGTGCTAGAGGCCTGATGACCCTGGTAAAAGAAGCTATCCCTTGCTCCCTAATAGCCAACCCGCCGCACTGTGGAGATGGTGTTGAATCTCTTGCTGTTGAGATTCAGCTACCTGGGGACCCTATAAAAATATATAATATTCATAGCAAACCACTGCGTGAGAGCTTAGATCTAAACCAGGTCTGTGCTACTGCAGCACAAGACCGAGTGATCATAGGGGGAGACTTCAATGCACACATGGCCATGCTGAATCCCCGCAAAAGGCCGAACGCGGCAGGCATTCACATAGCAGAAGTGCTTGGGACATTCCCTGAGATCGCTCTTCTCAACACCAAAACCAACAAGGCTCACTGCCAAACAATGGGAGGGGGTCCTCACTTTGCACTGCCACAAAATGCTCCATTCCTAGATGTGAAAACAGATCAAGGCCAACTGGTTTGCCTTCCAAGGAAGGCTTGAGCCGCCTGAAAGAGAACATCATGAACCCAATAACAATAATGAAAATTGGATGTGCTAGTGGCAAGCTAATCCAGGCCATAAACCAGGCAGCCTCACAAAACCATCCCAAAATTCGCCCATGGTCCAGAACTCACAAAGACGCCTGGTACTATAATGATGAAAAGAGGTCAACCCACAGGGTTAATGTGTAGAAAAAACTTCCGACGTCAAAGATGACAATTCTGGCCCTGTTGAGGGAAGCTATCGTGGATGCCAAGGAAAACTGCCAACAGAGTAAGGCAGGAAAAATGGCTGGAATGGTGCCAAACTTTTGGGCACCAGACCAGCCTTACAGAGTTCTGGAAACGGGTTAGGCAAGCGATAAGCCGCCAAGCCCCGAAATGCACTCATCATGACCCACAATCAGAGCTTAACAGATTGGTGCTTGATTTCTCTGCCAGAACCAGCACCAACAATCTGTCTCCAATGATGAGAGAAAAACAACAAAACTTAAATCCAGAAAGACTTGCTCTCATAAGAGACAAGGCACTCGAAGCTGATGAAACGGATGCCTTGTTCTCTCTTAGGAACTAAGAAAATCATACGAATCCAGTCTTGGGTCAGCACGGGATCTGATGGGATCTCTCACCCCATCATTTCGCATCTAGCCTTGCAGAGAACTTGCATTCTTGCAGGTTATCAACAAATCCTGGCAAACAGCCACGGTGCCCTGCTGGAAAAGCCACAATAGTTCCCATCCAAAAACCAAAGGAGCCTGGCAGTACCGTCCCATCTCTCTTCTCTGCTGCCTGGGTAAAACAGCTGAGATGGTACTCAACATGCTCCGATGGAAAATGGGTCCCCCCCATGAACACCTGCACCGGTTCACAAGGGGTAAGAGCACTGCTCATAGCATTTCCACACTCTTAAACACAATCTGCACCTCGCCTGCCGTGGCTGTCTTCCTAGACCTGGAGAAGGCTTTTGAACTGGCAAGTCCGCTTGCCATTCGAGACCCTAATCCACAAGGAGTCAAGGCAGACTCTTGCCTGGATAGCTGACTATTTTAAAAATAGATCAGCAAATGTCAGATTTCAAGGCCACCTCTCAAGCACATGCCACTTGAAAATGGAACTCCTCAGGGAGGGGTTCTTAGTCCAGCCCGGTTAATACCCTCTTATGCAGATGACTTGGCAATCATAGCCTCTGGCAATCACTGCCTTACTAGAGCTCAGCATTATCTGAACCTGGTGTCCGAAGAGTGTTGTAGGACGGGTCTAAAATATCAGCAGCAAAATCCAAAGCAATGGCACTGAGAACCAATGTCAGAAACAAAAAACTCACTATACAGGGTATGGATCTGGAATGGGTGAAGGACTATCTATACCTTGGTGTATGGACAGGGGGTGATCTGACACACAGAGGAGATCCAATACCTTGACAGAACAAGGAAAGACTGTCAGTCATGAAAAATCATGACAGGGAACACATAGGAGCAGGACACAAAGTACTAAGATCATTCTATGTATTGTCCCCCTACTATATTGATATGCATCTATCGCCTCTCATTGCTTCCAGCACAACATTAAAGAAAAGAAACAATACAACTGGAAAGCCAGGATACTAGGTGCACTAAGCCTCCAGGATATTTACTAGGTGCTCCTGGACAAAGTCATCAACAACTTCCTCAAGGTCTGCTCCTATCCATGACACCAAAATAGTTTATCTTGACACAATTCATTTCAGTTTTGCAGGTTTCACAAACTCCATATCAAGACTTTTTATCATTAGCCTTCAACACAGTGTGCATAATTCCTGAAATGTTTTGATACGCTTGTAAAAATGATCGAGTCAAGATCGAATGCACCATGAGAAACAATATTCCAAGCCATATAGGCATACAAGGGAACGAGCTTGCTGATAAACTAGCCGAAAAGGGCAGGGGTATGCCCCCATCCTCCATGATCGTTAAACCCAGCCGAAGGGGACTGAGCCAAGGTACCAAAGCTGCAGCGTGTGCGGTCCTCCGGGGAGCACATAGAGAAAACATCACAAAATCGCTTGCTGCCAAGTGGTACTCAGATGCTTCAGGCTATGAGCCACTGGCCCTTCCTCCAAATAAAAAGTACCGAAGTCATACTATTCAGACTAAGACTAGGTTACCAATGCGCTTGGTAAATTATTGACAATGAGACTGGGAGGTTATGTAAACACTGCGGCGAGCTTAACGCCACCCTGTTACATTACTTGCAGAATTGTGTACACACAATTTCTAAGGCAGGGACCACCCACCACAGCCGCCGGGCTGGTAAAAAGGGTGTGCAACATGCTTTCTCCGTGGCAGCTGGATCGCTTGCTTGCAATCCAGCCACCGCGATAAGCATGCAGTTCAAAGAAAAGGTCTGAGTTAACTAGAAATAGTTAACACAGGCCGGGCCACTCCAGAGAAAAGGCCCGGGCGAAGCATGACTTCGCAAATCTAACTGAACTGAACTCCTTCCTCAGACCCAAAGATGGGATCGAGGACAATTCCGAATCTGTTGTCTCACTTTCCTCAATAAATCTAGTTTGTGCATTGTGGGTTTTTCTACCATAGTATCAACACGATAGAATGTTTTTCTATTCATGTATATATATAAATCCCCAAATATTGCATTTCAGTCAAATAAAGGACTAACGGTGCTCTAAATAAATGTAGAGGTTCTATGATGTCTAACCAAAACTTTCTGCGCGTTATATTAGATCTGCCAATTAGTGCTTAAAAATAGGTAGGTTTGTGATACACAAGCACAACAGCTTTGATTTATTGTTTTTTTACATGTTCATTTAATGATGTTCCAACATATACATGTACTGAATGCAGACACAGTAAGGCTGAGAAACAGCCACACACAAGAAACACACACTCAAGCTCCTCGCATCTAGTCGCGCTTTCGCTTGCCCTTTGAGGAGCAGAGTCTCGCGCATCCTACGGCGAGGAGCTTCACGAGGAGGTACGTGATCCCGATCGCCACTGCCGCCGCGGTCATCCACACATCGACGTTATAAACCTGGTACCTGAGGGTTAAGATTAGATTGTTACCTTAACCTTTTTTTTTGAAATAAAACAAATGAAAATTTATGGATGATATATGAAATCCTACTGAAAACGAAAGTATTGGATACGCTGATGCCTCCTGTACGTGTCTCAGTAATGCTGAGCATTCGACTCACCACGCCATGGCGACCACGGGCGACCGCAGGTGAGGCGCTCCCTTGTGCCTGATGACGTAGTTCACCCAGTAGGATGCGACTTCCCCCGCGGGCTGAGGCTGATCCTTCATCACTCGGGAGCGTCGCTTTGCTTCTTGTCTCATGCTGCAACACACGGGCTAGTGAGTGGCAGTCGGTGCCTCGAGGCTGGATGTGTGGCCACGTGGACCAGTTTCACGAAATGTCTTTACATCGGGGGTTCGCAACCTCTACAGTCTAGCGACACGCAGACAATATTTGCTAGATCAATTACAAATCTTTATTTCAGTATTATATCATCCAAATGTATTATGCATATAGTTATAATATATCCTTGAAAATGTCCAACTGCTGCAAATAACTGCATAAAAATACAATTCTAACTGCATTTGTATAACATGGGGCAGCTGAGAGCAATCTAATTATCATTGACATATGCGTTACTAATTATTATTATTATTTTTTTTTATCTAGTGTTTTTCAGCCAGTAGCTATCCGAATTTTCCTAATGTTCCAGACTAAAGGATTAGTGTATTAAGAGGTAAGGGATATGCATAAAATGTGTATATAAATATGTATACTGTACATACATGTATATATATATATGTGTGTGTATATATATATATATATATATATATATATATATTATATATATATATATATATATATATATAATATATATATATATATAATATATATAATATATATATATATATATACATACATATATATATATATATATATATATATATATATATATATATATATATATTATATATGGTGTGACGGCGTCATAGCCTAGCAGTGTTAAGTGCCTTCTCACTTTCAGCTGCGATCACTGGCTAGCTTAATGTGAAAAGGGAGTAGCTCTGTATAAGCCTCCCCTGCCAGTTTATAGCCTCTCCATCATCGAGACCTGCAGTGCCTCCCCATGGCCACCCATGGAAACTGGGTACATTGTGGTCCCAGGCTAAACTGTGGGGGATCTTGGAGCAGCAAGAGGTCCTAGAGGTACAGTCATGGCTCACCAGTGTGTAAACACGCCCTGGCTTTGTACCAACTCCTACCCCTCAGCCCCCTGGTGTTAATGGGTAGCTCGGTGGGCCTTGCATTTCTCTCCCCTTCCCTCAGATATAACGCATCGGCAGTATCGAATATAAAAAGAAATGCTGGGGAAATGGGAAATGCCCCTCCTACCCAACATGTGAGCACGCTGTGGCCCCGTTGGGAGGGCGACTGCTGGGGCGCAAGATGGGAATGGGAGCTAGTCGTTTCTCCTGTGTTCTGGCAGCTGCCAACCCACTTAGAGTGAAGGCCCAAGGTTAAACCTCAAGCAGGATGTCAGGGTGGGGGCTTGGAACATCTGCTCTTTGTGTCAGGATGATTGGTTGCCACTACTGTCGAGGGAATTGAGGAGGCTGAGAGTTGAGGTGGATGCTCTCTCGGAGGTGAGAAGTCCTGGCAGCGGCTGGTTAAGCTGCAGAAATGGTCACCATATTCAGGGAGCATCCATAGCCATCTCTAGCAGATTTCGGCCAGTGGTAGTAGAGGTTACTCGGGGCGATTAGTGTATAATGGGTTGAGACTGAAGCTTACATTTGGCTTCATGTCTCTTATTGCTGTGTACACTCCTACCGATGTTTGCAAACTCGATGTGAAAAGAAATGTTTTACACCAAACTTGCATCTGTCACACAGTTGTTCTCAACAAAATATTCATATTGTTCTGGGTGACTTCATTGTGGAATATGGCTGTCATCGAGTTGGCTATGAGATATCTGTCGGTCCCCATGGTTCGGGAATGATGCCAGCAGTGAGAATAGCCTCCTTTTCTGGGGCTTTGCACGGTCCCAGAAACTGAGATTTCTGGCTCTTGATACCAGCACTACCCTCATCGTTGGATGTCATACAGTGATGCAGGTGATGCAGCCAAGGAGATCGACCACATCCTTGTTAGCATTTGTTGGGGGATCCTCCAGAACTACAGGGCGTAAAGTAGTGCCGAATTCTATGATACTGATCATAGATTAGTTGTGGCTACCCTCCAGGTCCAATTCTAAACTCCCCAGCAGTCCAATGACCACTCTAGTGTGTTTCATCTGGACAGGTTGAGAGAGGAGGGAGGTGTGCCCGGGGGTTTTTGAGTCAGTTTCTTGTCGTTTCTTAGTGCTCGACAACCTGACGGACCCTGTACTTCTGTGGGATACCTTCAAGCGTGAAATGGTTGATGCAGCTCAAGAATCGATTGGTGAATGCCCTATAGCAAGATAGAATTATATCTGACAGGAGACACTGGAAGCTACAGATGCTTATCATGCAACTCGTCTGACAGGGAATTGGGATTTGCATCACTCTTAGGTGCATACTCGGTCACTGTTGTGAAGGGACAAAGTTCAGTTCATTAGCAGTCTTGCACAGAAGGCCATTTCTTGGTAAATGATCTTTGTCCTACCTACCAACTCCAAGCCCTCTTCACAGGTGACAGCACTGCACTCAGTAAGTGGCCAGCTTATCTCAGATCTTGTTAGTGTAATATAAGTATTTTAAGTAGTTGTACCAGGTTGATCCACCAACAATTAACAATTAATTTGGGTGCAGATAGTGTCAAGATTCCGTTGCCAGACTCACTCATCAGTAAGGATCCACCCTCCCTCACTGAAGTTAAGGGGGAGATCTTCAAGCTGAAGAGTGGTAGAGCAGTGGGTGTCTGCAGCATTCCAGCTGAATTGTTAAAGTCTGACGGTAAATATATGGCGTGAGGGTTACATGCTATCCTGTCTGTAGTATGGTTCTTCTATGGAAGGGGAAAGGGGATCGATGGGACTGCCAGACATCACACTGGTCAGTATACCTGGCAAGGTTCTCACACATCCTTCTGAGACGTATCAGAGATCATCTGCTAAGGCACCAGACCGACCATATCCTGGCACTTAGTCATTGTAGAGAGTCGTTGCCAGTTTGGGCATGGTCTGCTTGCATTGACGTCAAGCAGGCATTCAATATGATGCATCGAAATCACTCTCAATACTGAGATTGAGAGGAATTCAAACAAGGGTTATTAGACTAATAGCAAGCCTGTGTACTGGTACTGAAAGTGCTGTAAATTGTGGTGGGGGCCTGTCGAGCCTCTTTCCAGTTAGTTAGGCAAGATTGTCCTTGCTCCAACATTTTTCAATGCTTGCATGGACTGGATATTGGACAGGGTTACTGCCTAAAACCATTGTGAGCAACTCTGAGCAATATCAGGGTTACTGACCTTGACTTTGCTGATGATGTTGCTATTCTATCTGAGTCTCTTGACAAGAGTATTTGGAGATGCTACGTGTTTTCCAGGCCCTGATAATGCTGGTGATACTATATGGTAGTGAAATCTGGCTGCTATCCTGTGCCTTGGGATCTCATCTTCATGCCTTTTGTAATAAGTCGGATCATGGGTGCAGCTGGCGGGACCAAATGTCCAACCAAGAGTTGCACCGTGAGGCTGGCACAGGCCCTGTTACTTGCACAATCTGTGATCGCCAGCTCAGGCTATACGGCCACCTGGCTCGCTTCCCAAAGGCTGATCCTGCCCAGCAGATTGTCTCTGTGCAAGATAGCCATAGATGGGGGAGGCCTGTGGGACGACCTAGGAAGTTGTGGCTTGGGCAGATCGATCAAACCTGTCATGAGGAGCTTGAGATAGACCAAGTCCCTGCCTGGCAGGGACTTGGTTCATCTAAGAGGGATCCTCGTAGATGGAAACGAAGGGTGGATGTGGCTGTACACCCCTGTCTGCATTAGCTCACAATAATGATGTAAATATATATATATATATATATATATATATATATATATAATAGTTTTATGAATATATAGATGGATTGGTATAATTAGTTTCTCTTCTCTCTCTCTCTCTCTCTCTCTATATATATATATATATATATATTTTTTTTTCATGAATGTATATATATCCATGTGTGTAATACTTCATGATTTTGGCCAGATTCTACTCTTCTTCCTCCCTTCACAGGACCCCTGTTATCCAACAAAAGGAAAATTCCCAAAGCTACACTGCCGTTCAGAATAATAAAAAACTGCTCAGTCTCTCCGGCCACCTGTGTCTATTACCTCTGATCGTCCATGACCGAGCGAATCCCTTCCGTCAAGACCTCCTCAGACAGCTGGTCCCAGAAGATGACTTTGCCCCAGCCCTCCCTCGCCACCTGAACCATGTTGGTGTGCTGGTCCCCCATCACGGGAAAGCCAAGAACCGGGATGCCATGGTACGTGGACTCCATTGTGCTCAGTTGTCCGCCATGTGTCATGAAGAGGCGGAGGGACGCATGGCCTGTAACAGAAAATCCTTACATTTAATGGAGTTAATCATGTTTATCTATTTGATCATATGTATGTATCCCGTCCACTCATGTGGATGGGATATAATGAATAATTGACTTTCACTTAATAAGTTCACTAAAAACGACTGCTTGTACTCATCATGAAACTGACCTAGAATGTCTTGCTGCGGGAGCCATTTCCCGAGCCGCACGTTGGGGGGTAGGTCGGGCATGTCCTCCTGGTCCCACTTCCACAACACGCGTTGTTTTAGGGACCCAAACACCTTCACTAAGACCTGGCGGTACCTGGGGTGAAATTGGGCGCTGGTTTAGCCAGTCTGCAGGATGAAAACGCATGTTTTCTTCTACTACTACTACTACTAGAAGAACAATACAAATACAAATTATGATCATATTTCTACCATAAACGTCATTAGTGAGAGGCATCCCTTCTAAGCTTGGAAAGGGGGCCTCAAAATGAGGTAAGCAAATATAATATTTGTATCTCTAAACAGTACCACTTGTACAGTAGAGAATATGTAGGAAAGATGAAGGAAGCCTTGGCTCCAGAATAGGCCCCAAGTACTCACCCTGTTTTTAAGGCCTGTAAATGGTTAATATACCGACTTATGGCAAGGATTTTTATACTACTTTCCTCAAACATCGCTGTAATTCCAATTGATTCTAACCCGTCTTATTTTTAGCATTATTTCATCTCGGTAAATGTCTGTCTAAACCATTTTTATTTTACCCGTGGCAAAAATACTAGGAGCGCACAGGGACTATAGTAACCATCATTCTCATAATCAAGATAAGATTATTCGAACAGATCACTCATAAATCTGATGAATCATTTAATAGAGGACTTCATATCGACCCCCGGACGCTGTTCGCCCAAATAGCCTCCCCGTTCAGCCTCAAACCGCCAGTCCTTTGCTTCGGTTGGGGTCAAGCTGGGCGCCCGCCACACACGTTCGTCCTGCCCCGCCGAGGGAGTGTGAATGATGCCATTACCCATTGACATTCCTGCAGTAACTCCCAACAGGATAGTTTAATGAATAATCGATATTACTGCCATCGTTGTCATTCATTACGAGAAGTGACATGAGTAGTACTAGTGCAAAACTGTAG